ATATAATGGTTTATCTCCTTTTTTCCCAAGATTCACAGGAACAAGAGATGGAAAGTCATTTAATGTCAGAAGCACACACACACATACAAAAACAAAGAGACTGGGTAAATAGGTTTTAGTCAAAGAAAATAATGGGCTGGAGGAATGAGAGAGAGGGAAAACAGTTAAGATGAGCAGGCATTTGAAATTCCAACCCTTGAAAGAAGGCTTGGAAGTGGAAAGGAGAAAGCAATTTGTAAGCATATATACACACAGAGAGACCCACACAAGCCAACAACAACAAAGTTGAGTGTTGTGTCGCAAGGCGAGGGTTTGTTTGGGCGTCTGGAGATGGCGGCGGCGGCGGCTGGGTCTGAAATTATTAGAGCAGAGCAAAGAGGGAAAGTTCCAAGGCGGGCAAAACTTCTTGAGCAGCGAAGTCGAGGATCTGGGAGGCTTCAAGGTAGGCAGAACTAGCGGGTCATTTCCTATTAGGCTTCATGGATATGTGTGCGCGCGGGGGCGGGGGGTCTAGGGAAGGAGAGTATCAATAATTACTCAGGCTTGACACGCCAAGAAATCCCCTCGGTGCCTCCACAGAAACGTCAATCTCAGGTAGAAGGAGCCGGATCATGGGGGACGGCCGAGGAGGGCGGGGGTGGGTGGGTGGGGAAGAGTATTGAATGCGGGGGGGGGCGGGGGGGCGGATGGAGAGATTGCGGAGGCTGGTTGAAGCCAGCCTGTCTCTGCATTTATCACTCTGTCCCAGAGGAGGTGTTTGTTCGACATCGCAGCTTGACAGCACAAAAACACTATGGCCAGAAGCCCTATCAAAGAACTTACTGACACGTATCATTTGTGGCCCGGGCTTCGCAAGGCAAAAGGAGCTATTGCCTGGCTCGCATTCGGGGGTGGGTTTGTGTGTGAGTGCGCGCGTTTTATCTCTGCGCAATGTGTAAAACTCCACACGTTTCCCAGAGCGTCGGGCCTCGAAAACTTCAGATTAGCTACTACAAGAAAGGAAGGAAGAAAGAAGAGAGCAGAGCGCTCCTTTTGAAAAAGGCCAGAGCCCCTTCACTACTACCACAGAGCGCTTTTGCCACCATACGTAAACTTCGAAACTCCGCTGGGTTTATTTTTCTTGGCGGGAGACACAAAGAATGAAAAGCACCGAGCATCTAGCCTGATCTGAGCGGCGCAGAGAAAGGCGGAGTGCAGCGCAAGAGGAGCGCCAGCCAGGGCGCAGCCGGGCCACGTGGGCTGCCGCGGACCCGCGCCGGCCGATTATTCGGAAAGAGTGGCAGGGCAGCCAAGGCCGCTGCGCCTCTTTACGCCCGCACCCCACCAATCAGAGAAGCCCTTGCTCTGGACGCCCCGCCCTTTCTCCCTGACCTCCGGACGGGGCGTCCTTCTCCGCACATGCGTAGTTGAAAGCTGTTAATTTCTAGAACAGCTCGCGGAGTGGGGAACAGAGCGAGACGGGGGCGTGGATGCAGGCGCCTTCTTTGCAAAGTAATGTATCTGCTCTTCCAGACGCTTGCCTGGTGTAAATGAAGGTGCACATGACTGTAGCATGACTGAGACTAAGTCTCTAGGCCTTTAACAACTGAAGGTGCTCCAGTGCACGTAAAGAGTGCCATTTTTCAGCCCGGGAAAAACTTTCCAGGTACTCTGGACAGCTCTCCGGATGGACACACAGGAGACTCGACCAAGAACATTGGTTTCCAGGTAGTCTTGATTCAGGCCACCTCTAATTTGAGACTGCAGTCCTAAATACATCAGAAACTAAGTTCCAATGAACTCAGTGTGGCCTGCTTCTGAGAAGGCATATATAGGGTCATGGTGTCAGATGATAAGCCTTTATTCTCGTCATCTCCCCCAGACAGGCAGACCTAGGATTTCATGCATCCCTTCTGTAATCTGGCATAAAACTCTGCTTCATTTTCCCCATCATAGGTAGCCATTATAATTCTACTCCCTGCCAACACACTTGTTCGGGTCGCCTACATGATTAAATGAAATAATGGATGTCAGAGATAGAGATCTAATCTAACTTCAACAGTAGATGTTATGTTAATATATTAGTTTAGGAAGGAATGCTTTTTTTAAATCCACCAATTAACCTGGATTGTTAATCCTAGGATGTGGATTAGGTTTATCACCCAAGCATCACCTACATTACTCAGGACAGGATTCTTCCTTTCTACCACACTTCGTACAACTGGAACATGCTTTGAAGTTAGCCCTCTTGAACCGAGGTATCTCCTTAAGTTCAAGCACTCTTACTTGGAAAGACGTTTAGGGCGCAATCCTATAGCAGGCTTAGACAGAAAAAAGTCCTACAACTCCCAGCATTCATCAGTCAGACGGCTAGGCAGGGCTTGCTGTCTGTCTAAGCATGCCTAGATTGCGCAATGGCAACCCTTTAATGGCAATGAAGGGCTTTCACTTGTAAGGAAAGGTGTTTCGAGATAAGGAGTGCCAGTCCTCTTACGCCTACGGTCTCTCACGATGCCAGTTTGTGGAAGGCATTTCTCTTCGCTTGCTTGTTTTTCTGGTACAAAAGATAAAGCACGTTAAGAGCTGGCTTGTGGTAGCGCGGACCGGAATCTACGCTCTGCTGAAGTACAGAAAGTCAAGGAGTAAAGCGGCGGCACTCTGCTAAAGTGTCATGGTGAGGGTGACGGAGAACCACGGCATGCTTGCTCGAAGCTGGGTACTCCACAGCTGAGAAACGGGCTTGGTCACTGTGGCAGAAGTTACATTACTGCTGCCCCAGTGAGACCACAATCTAAGGCCACTTGCTTGGGTTGCATCTGAGAACTGCGCAGGACCTGCCAGGTGACTCGGTTCAGAAAGACTGGGCTGGACAAGCAGTGCCTGTCTGGCCTGACCTTTCCCCAAGGCTGCCGTGAAAACCACAGTCAGGCTGTATCTAGGGGAGAGTTCGAGATCCAGCTCGGGTTCGCATGAACAAATGACTCTTTGGTGGAGTTATCTGAAGTGAGCGGAGTATTGTGTTGGAGCATTTGAAGTGGCTGAAAATTGACCCACTTGTTAGAGGAGGAGGAAGATGTGGGGAGGGAGGGAGAGAAGAACCGGGGAGATCAGAGACACTGCAATATCTTAATCTACCAGTTCTGATATTGATTCTCCCCCTCCTCTCAGAGCTTGCCCGGAGTTCAATCCCACCCAGAATCAAATGTATTTGTGTTGCGGGGAGGGTAGCGGGAGGCAGAAGAAATTGTCACCAGGAGCCACTCGAGAAGAAAGGACACAAGCATTAGCAGAGGAACAGCTCCATGTTAGCACCGTTCCAATATCACAACCGTGCACCCATGAAAATTAATCCGGAGTCACTGGAGAGCCTCACCCCCGTCCTACCAGCCACAGCTTCGAATTAGGAACCCCGCTTCCCCTACAAGGAAGCAAGGAATGGGAGAACCTCTCAGCTGTCCTTCCACTCCCCCGATGGCAAATAGGAAGGGTGGTGCGCAGTTTAACAGCACAATCCTGTCTGCCCACTCAGGTAGGGCACACTCTTGGGGCTCAAAGCGGAGCACTCCTCCTAGGTAAGTGAGCACAGGATCGTAGCGCAAAAGGGTCGTTCAGGGATAACTAATCCACATTAAGTGGCTTCACTTAATGAAAGAAATGCACCAGTTCGGCTGGTCGCAGCAAACCCCCGTCTGTCTGTCGTCGCTGCCCCCAACCCCAAACTCACTCAGTCTCCTGCCTGAAGTGGTGCTAATCTATTCCAGTCTACTTCTCTTTCCTCCTCCTCCCCGCTCTTCAGTGCCCCGCAAAGAGTAAAAGAACTTCCAATTCTGTTTTAATTAATTGCTTGCTAGCATCCATACGCAGCCCATCAGCTCTGGTTCGTTAGTGAGGCTGGAAAGCGGAAAGAGTGGAACCGGG